TTGGAGGAAAGACGAAAAGCAGGTTTAATATCTTCAGGAAACATGTTCCTTATTTTCTGGAATAGCTGTAAAGAAATCCCCCACACAGAAGTACCATTAAGTGTTTATCAAAACTGCAAGGATGTCACAGTGATTCAATTTGTTTGCAAAAACAAAACAAAAGTTTAATACACACACTAAAAAAGGGGGAATACTTCCTGCAGGGTGCTCCAGAAAGGGAGGGACTATCCCTGAAGACCTCAAATGGAAGAAAAATAAACATCCAGGCACACCTGAGGTTTCTTCAAAATGGCAGTCTTTTTTAATTTATTTATTTATTTATTGAAACAAGGAAGTGGAGACGTTTCTGCGACGTAAATAAGGTTCTTTAAGTATGATTGCATACAACAGATGACACTGTTGCTTTATGAATAATAATAAAAAAAAAACTTGTTTCAGAGCGATAAAGGCATTATTTAGGTTTATTCTTTGCATGACAGAAGGGAAATGAGATGTCCCCTTGTGAAAGTAGTGCAATGCTCCAAATTCAGAGACTCCAAGCTTTATAGTAAAATTAAAGATTATGCTAGCTTTAGTGTACTAATAATCTTTTACAACATGACAGGAGGCTTCGTATTTAGCATTTTTAACGAGAAAGTTATATAAAACTAAGGAAGAATCCGAAGGTTCGATGAGATACCTAGCCCATTGGGGCTACAGGAGAAACCTCCCCGTCGGATGCCCGAACATCCGGTACCTGGCGGAAAGTCACCAGACCAAGCATAAAAGTCCATCAGTAAATGCACAGTCCCGTAGAAAAAACTGAGAACTATCTCCACATCCTATATAATTATTGATATACCTGACTGTCGACGCTCTGTCCATCCGGAGTAGGATGCAACAGATGGAGTACTCCTTTACCAGTGCGGATAGTGAAGTACTGCACAAAGAATTCTAGGTCCGCAACGTGAAGGGAGAATTCCTGAGTTGTGTACCAGTTTTCATGGGTGTGCTCTCGCAGGTTGTCCTCACAGCCCCACAAGCTGGTATCCAAGTCCTGAACGTAGTAGTTGGTTGTAGGGGTCTGCCTGAGAGAACCTTACCAGGCCTCACTGCAGCGAGTCTGGGAAGATCGCCCGGATGGAAGAGGACAGTATCCCACTTTCCGGACGAGCGTATGTAGGTTCACGGTGTTGCAGTGAAGGACCGTGTGAATGTTCCTTGA